CTCCGGGTTGGCCCAGTGGCAGGGGTCCCGGCAGCTGCTCCGCAGGGCCACCGCCGGCAAGAAGAGCGCGTCCGCGGCGCGGCACGCCCGCAGGCCGCCCCGGCTTCGCCGGGCGCCGGGGGCCGCCCGCTCGCAGCGCGCCAGCGCGCCGCTCGGGCCCGAGGCGCACGCGCCGGCGCCGGGCTCGGCCACGGGCACGACGGCGCCGGGAGGGCACGCCAGGGAGGTCTCGTCGTCGGAGCGGCGAGGGGTGCAGGGCTGCCACAGGTCAGGGGTTGCTGGCTGGTGCCCCGGGCCAGAGGGGCGCTGCAGCTCTTCGTTCCATGTGGGAGCCCCCATGGGGCCCGCTGGGCCTCGTGGGGGGTGCTCGAGGAGGCCGTGGGGGCCTCCTCGGAAGTCCTGGAGGCACGCCAGGAGCACTTCTGGGAACACCCGAACAGGCCTGATGGAGAGGCCACTGAGCCGGATCGGGCCGCAGGATCCAGCCCAGGATCCAGCGGGATCCAGCCCAGGATCCAGCCCAAGGTCCAGCCCAGAGGGAACGCCAGGGAGGCCTTCGTCAGAGCGACGAGAGGTTCAGGGCTTCTGTGTAGCCCCGATGGAGGGGCCCCTGACCCGGATCGGGCCAGAGGAGGAAGCCCAGGATCCAGCCCAGGATCCAGCGGGGATCCAGCCCAGGATCCTGCACAGAGGGAACGCCAGGGAGGTCTTCTTCATAAGGCGAAGCCAGGACGAGGATAAAATCGGGTGAGGACGAATCGAGGATCTCTGAGATCTGGCGGATCTGGAGGATGTCTCAGGCGCCGTGCCCTTCTCAGAGCGTTCTGGGAAGCTCTGAGAGCGTTCCAGACGCTCGGGAACGGACTTATCCTCGTCCTATAGCCCCGTCCTATAGGCCCGAATGAGGGGCCACTGAGCCAGATCTGGCCGGATGAAGCCCAGGATCAAGCGGGATGAAACGAGCAGGATGGGAAGCGGGAGCAAGCCGGAGGAAAGGCAGGAGGACACCAAATCAGGCCAGCTATCGACCAGGGAAATTCCAGCGCCGATGCAGAGTTCCTGGACCCCCGACGTCGTGATTTTTTCGCTACGTCGACCCCCAAATGTCTGGACCTCTTCCCTGGGACCGGTTTTTCATCCTGAGTCGATTTTTGACGGTCCCGAGGCCTGGGAAGGGCCCACGGAGGCCGAAAATAGCGAGAAACCTCCCGTCGTGTTTTTCTTGACAACGCGAGGGCGTCTGTGTTTGACCTCCAAGGGGTTGCCTCCCAGGATGGCCACGGACGCCGCAGCGGAGCGGTCGGGGTCGGCGGCGGCCTGGCCTGCCGTGGCGTCCGCAGCGGCCGCCATCGGGCCAGGCCCGGCGGCGGAGGCGGGCCCTGCGAGCGAAGGTGCTGGCAGGCGGGGGCCGGCGAGAGGAGAGGGGGGAGGAGGAGGGGGAGGAGGAGGAGGAGGAGGAGGAGGAGGAGGAGGAGGAGGAGGAGGAGGAGGAGGAGGAGGAGGAGGAGGGGAGGAGGAGGAGGAGGGAGGAGGAGGAGGAGGAGGGAGGAGGACGAGGAGGAGGAGGAGAGGAGGACGACGACGACGAGGACGACGAGACGAGGACGAGGAGGGGGAGGAGGAGGGGGAGGGAGGAAGAGGAGGAGGAGAGGAGCGGGATGGGCAAGCGGGGCGCGCTCGCGCCGTACCTGACATCCTACCCCTCCCACCCATCCCTTCCAGTTGCGCTGTTCTTTCTCTGTGCGCCGACGCGCATCACAGCGGACCTGGGAACTCCAAAAAGGACACCCCTATCGTGGTGTGCGCCATCGGAAAAAAAGGAGGGTTGTGTGCATTGGAGGAGGAGGTGGCGGGTGAGCAGGAGAATGAGCAGGTGTCGAAGGGAGGACGGAGGTGGACGAGGACGAACAGCAGCAGCAGGAACTGGAGTGGAAGGCGCGGGAGGAGCAGGAGGACCAGGGGAAGACGGAGGAGGGGAAATGACAGGGGCGACAATGATGAAGAAGGACTCGGATCCAGGCAAGTGGCCCGCGCTGGGGCGAGAGCACCATGCGGGACCAAAGCGCCGATCCGAACATGACGCCAACGCTGCAGTGGGAGTACCATTTTGAAACACTGAAAAAAACAATTGGAGTATCTCAAAAAACATACGAAAGATCATGTGTTGAAGTTCTGCGGGTGCAGAGCAATACGCGGAGAGGGTCGAACATCTCATGGACAAAGTCAGGAGAGAGAGAGAGAGAGAGGAGAGCACCATTTATAACGTGCGATCGTGAAGGGGGGCCTGGACATGGGGACGGAAGACCAGGACGGAGGACGAAAATGGGGGGATGGTCGGGGAAGCGAAAGAGGCATGTATATGACGGCATATATATAGAACGTGTTGAATGAACTTGAAAAAATATACGCACACTGCGTGTTCAATTCGTTCAAATCCGCCGGCCCCCTTGTGGGGCCACCAGGCTGCAGGCCCGTGATTCGCAGTTTCCTGTACCAGTTGTAGCTTGTAGTTTCCAGTGTTACAGTTCTGTTGATTGCTGGTTACTGTGACTAGTTGATTGACCGCGCGAGGGGAGGGAGGCCCAAACCAGATTTTTTAGCACCCCCTGGGCGCGTTGTCTGAATTGCTGGGGGGGCTCGAAATCAACACCCCTCACGCAGATCCGCGGGGTCAGGGTCCAAAAACACAAGGGATTTGCCACATTTCTGAAAGTCGGTGCCACCCCTCTCGCAGATCCGCGGGGTCCGGGTCCAAAAACACAGGGGATTTGCCACATTTCTGAAATTCGGTGCCACCCCTCACGCAGATCCGCGGGGTCAGGGTCCAAAAACACAAGGGATTTGTCACATTTCTGAAATTCGGTGTCACCCCTTACGCAGACCCGCGGGGTCAGGGTCCAAAAACACAGGGGATTTGGCACATTTCTGAAATTCGGTGCCACCCCTCACACACATCCATCGCAAGGCGTGGTAACCCAAACTGCGAGTACTCCTTCGGCCCTTTAATCCCAAGGTGTGGTAACCAAACTCGTAAACCATACACGTCTTACCAATCGCCCTGTGTGGTAACCCCTCTTGTGATCAGTTGGTTTTGCCGATTGCGACTCGGCCTCGCATGAAGTTCCGATACTGCTGCACGACAGCGCCAAAGCCTCATGACTTAGCTCTTCCATGGCCCATTCTCCGAGAGAGGGGGCCGGCGGCAGGGGGCGAAGCCCTTACGGATAAACGCTCTATACATGCCGGTCTATACGGGACAACACGAACACACGGCAGACGCTCGATACGGACCTCTTGGCCGCTCGCCCGTGCCTGCTTGGCCCCTGCTGTGCGCGCGGGCCCGGGGAGGCGATCCGAAGGCCCTCTCCTCCACCACGCGCCACCCGAGACCCGACGTCTTTTTTTCTTTTAAAAAAAGAAATAAAAAAAAAATATAAAAAAAAAAAAAAAAAAAAAAAAAAAAAAAAAAAAAAAAAAAAAAAAAAAAAAAAAAAAAACGTGCGCGACATCGCAAAACGAACTCGACAGGAGCCTCAGACCCCATCTTGCTGCACCATTCTTCGAGCCGGATCGATCTGCGAGGGTCTCGGGGCGCGAGGCTATGCGCAAACGCCAGGCTGAAAAAGTTGAGAAGCCAGGATTTCAGGGCCCTCGGCGTGTCTCTCGGCAACCGCCCTCTGGCCGAGGCCAACGTCGCTCGTCGGGCAGCCAGGCTTCGCCCCACTCCCGCCTGCCAATCCACCAGACGCCGAGCGCCGCAAGGCGCGGCTCTCCCGCCGGGCCCGGCGAGCCCAGCAAGCCCAGAAACGTCCCGTCGGCACCTTCCGTGACCGGACGTGCTCTCGTCATGAAAACTCACGACCGGGGTTTCCTCGTCGCTGTCGGCCCGCGGGGGGGGCCCCCGCCGGGCCCCGGGGCCGGCAGGAAACGACTGAGGCTGAAAATCGGTCCCGGGGGAAGGGTCGGGACAGGCGTGGGCCCCCGTTCTTGTCGTTATTCTTTTGAAAAGAATGCTTCAGATTTGTTCATAGAAGAAGATGAAGAGAAAAAAGAGGAAGGATAAAAAAACGAAACAAAACAAAAACAAGAACACATGTCTGGGTGCCTGTCGAGCGCTCTAAGATTCTGAGGCGCAGACTAGTGGAGGCTAGTCCAGGAGAAACCTTCCACCAGAAACCCAACCCTGAGACCCTAGAGCGTCCCTTGATTTTTGGAGTGGGAACGTCACGTTTTCCGCAGCAAAACCATCGAAACCCAAGTAACCTACGGCACCCTGGATGCAAGCAGGGTGTGTCTTGGCATGGGCCTCCACTGTACCCACTCTGACGACGACCCGACCCGAGCTGATCGAGTCGCCGGTCCCCCGAGCCCTCGATCTCCTCCCTGGGGCGATCATCGGCTTCTGGATTGCGAGAACAGCGAAAAACACCTCCAGCGCAGAGTTGCTCCAGTGGGCGGAGGTCTGGACTCAGATGAGGAGGCGGGGGAAGGAGAGGGGCAAGGCGAAAAGGAGGGGGAGAAGGAGGAGGAGGAGGAGGAGGAGGAGGAGGAGGAGGAGGAGGAGGAGGGGGGGGGGGAGGGGGAGGGAGGAGGAGGAGGAGGAGGAGGAGGAGAGGAGGAGGAGGAGGGGAAGCAGGGGCAGGGGCAGGGGGCAGGGGAGAGGAGGGCGAGAGGGAAGGGGAGAGGGAGGGGGATGAGGAGGAAGGACGAGGCGAAGGACGAGGAGGAGGAGGAGGAGGAGGAGGAGGAGGAAGGAGGAGGAGGGGGAGGAGGGGGGGGGCAGGGGCTGGGGCAGGGCAAGGGGAAAGGAAGGGGAGGGGGGAGGGGGAGGGGATGATGATGATGATGATGATGATGATGATGATGATGATGATGATGATGATGTTGATGATGATGATGATGATTATGATGATGATGATGATGATGATGATGATGATGATGATCATGATGATGATGATGATCATGATGATGATGATGATGATGATGGTGATCATCATCATAATAATGGTACTAATGATACTAATAATCATAATACTAATGATAGTAATAATAATAAACATAATAATACTAATAATAATAATAATAATAATCATAAAAAATAATAATACTAATAAAAATAAAAACAATAATAATAATAATAGTTATAATAATAATAACAATAATAATAATACTAATAATAATGATAACAACAGCAATAATAATTATTATCATGACAGCAATAATACTAATAAGAATGATGATGATGGTGGTGGTGATGGTGATGGTGATGGTGATGATGATGA